TATGTAAATATATATATACTTATGTATTTGTATGCGTTTTTATTGTGCTATTTTTTACTGCACTTTGGTTAGCCTAGGCTGTTTTTAATGTGCTCTATAAAGATTTTATTAATTGATTTGAATTAAACACCTGAAATACAAATGTAGTTACTATTATCCCCTCCAGGATAAAAGGCAGGGCGAAGTACTGCCTTCTTACTGAATTTCTCCATCTGTGTGAGATAATAAAGGATTGATTGATTGAGTTTCGGCCATAATGTCTCAGTCTAATATTTTTTTCTTTCAAGATTTAAGAATTTATTTTCGGTTTGCAGTAAAACCACATTGGGAAAAACTGTTCCAGATATTCCAAATATTACAAAACAGTAGGATTTTCCAATAGTCTGTGTGGATAATAATTTCTCCATATTCACATTGAGTAATCTCAGTACATCCTAAAATGGCAAATAGTAAACAAAATAATTGCAGGTCAGAACTTGCACAAAATCTTCTCTTCTTTTAGTCCAGCCCTGATTGACTCCTTCCCCTTCTGTCTCCCCTTCTGTCTCCCCTCCCTCCCCCTAAAATCACTGCACATGCCCCTTCGCCCCATGGCTTCTTTATTTCTCCAGACAGCTCCAGCTCCCTGCATCTCCCCCTAAGCCCCCATTATAGACCACTCCTCGCCTCCTGTGTCCCCGCGACCATCTCTGTCATTCTGAACCCTGGCCGTCCTTACCCGCTCTCGCCACCGGGGGCCAAAAGGTTAATAGGCACCCAAACAATAGTGTGGCGCAGACACAACAAACACACACCCCAGGGAGTCGTTTGCCTTTGGGGGGGGGGGGGCGGATCATCTCTCTCCCGAGATCCAAACCGTGTGCCTTTTTTGGGGTCTCCCTGATCCCAGACTTGACTTAGCCCCGCCCACTCTGGCTCGCTTTCTTGTCAATATTGCGAGTCTCTGGACAGTCATTTATGCACATTTGCGAGGTTAACAGGCATTTCATTGGCTGCTATTTGTATTTGAGAAAGCCTTGTTAGGAGGCTAATAAAGTGACTGTGAAGACGTGGCGGAAAGGCAATTACCACGTGCGATTAACACTCGGTGCTGAGGAGTGGGATCCTGGATTGTCATTTTGGTGACAGAGTTGAGCGTAATTGTTTCTACGCTTTGCTGTTGGGAAGGTTACGGGGAGCAGAGGCAAAAAATTGTTAAATATCTGCTTAGACAGGTGTGTGAAGAGGAGGGGAGGCAGCAGGGACGGAGGAAGAAGGAAGAGGGGTGGTACTGATGAGTTTAGCATTGATGGAAATCGAATGGTTTGATCAGAGACGAAAGGTTGATTCATTAACCCTCTCGGCGCCACGGTTGACTTCGATGGACAAGATGCAGTAATGTTTAAAATGGCAGATTGTGTCAAACTGGGTGTGGGCACTGCGCCGGCTGCTCAGTGTAGGGCAGAAATGATTTGCACTGTTTTGACTATTTCACTGTGAGTTCTGTCTGTGTGTTCAGGTCCTAGTGATTTACATGTCTGTCATTTAAAAAATAAAAATAAAAACAAAATTCTACAATCCATGGTGGCCACTGCTGTATGACGCCTTAATATGCAAATTAGATGGGTCAATTTAATCCCTTCACAAACTTTGGGCCATCCTTATAATGTCCTTATTTACAGAAAGCCTCAATCTCTAATCTGCAAATTAGAGATAGAGGATTCAAAATCAAGCGTTTTAAGAAAAAACCTCCATCCATCCATCCATTTTCTTCCCCTTAATCCATTTCTGGGTCGGGGGGGTGGCAGTCAGAGCTGCAGTACACATAGCACCAGCCCCTCACTGATCCTCCTGCAGGTGCTGAGTCCACAGGAGCTGAGATCTTTCAGCTGGGGCTTCAGGCAAAGTGGGGTTAAGTGTCTTGCCCAAGGACACAACGACAGCAGTCATCAGTGGGAGTCGTAAAGTAGGTCTTACGGTGGGCTCGAACCCATGACCTTCAGGCCCAAAGGCCAATGCGCTACCAACTGAGCTACTGTCGCCCTCAGAAAAAAATAAAAAAGAGAAAAAACCTCTGGCGCTTTAATAAGCAATGCCCAATTTATTTTCTAAATAGTTCATAAAAATTCAGGCCATAAAAAGTGCAGAGAAGAAACTTAGCGTGACGCCAGCTCTCCTCCAATCACAGAACGAGGAGCGGCGAGTTGGGGGCGGGGCTAAGCATTCAAACTGAAACCCTGCAGAAACAGGTATATCTCCTTTAAAGGGTTCTGGACAATGTGCAGTTGTATTTAAAAGATGCTGCACCAGATTTAGCACCAGCTGCTTTCCGTCTGTGCTCCTTAGAATACAATTATAGCACTTAAACATTCAAATACAGCTCAATAAAAAGTAAAAGTTATTAAAATACATTGAAATCCATCCATCCATTGGGCATCACCGATATATTATTTACACCTAACGGCACAGAAACTGAAAGTAAGATAACAGTCTGAATTAGCAAATATATAATCCATTCTTATAAAAAAAAAAAAAGTTTATATTTTCAGGTTATATTAGTAGTAGTTTATTTCTTCGGTTCACAAGTTTCAAAAGATCTAATACATTTTACAATAAAAAAATAACTAAAACGTGTAGAATTTGAGTGCTGAATAATGCCTGACCAAATTTTCAATGTATTTTTTTTTTGTGGCCGACCAGATACATCACAGAAACCTTCACCAACAGCAGAAAAGATAAACCATTTTGACACAAGGAAGTACAAAAATAAAACAAAGTCGCTGGTTCATTGGTTACGTGTTGATGTTCATAAATGTTCTGGATCATAAACTACCCTTAGACCCTGGAAAACTCCAAACAATCTAAATATCAACCAGTATTAGAATTTGCTGTTTTATTCCCTGTCGCGTCCACAGCTCTCTCTCTCTCTCTCTCTCTCTCTCTCTCTCTCTCTCTCTCTCTCTCTCTCTCTCTCTCTCTCTCTCTCTCTCTCCCTCTCTCTCTCTCTCTCTCTCTCTCTCTCTCTCTCTCTCTCTCTCTCTCTCTCTCTCTCTCTTCTCTCTCTCTCTCTCTCTCTCTCTCTCTCTCTCTCTCTCTCTCTCTCTCTCTCTCTCTCTCTCTCTCTCTCTCTCTCTCTCTCTCTCTCGTATCTCAAGCATCTGTTCCCAGCTGATCTGTGATGCTAAGCAGATGTGGAGTCCGTCTGTGATGACACTGCTTTTATACGGGAGCCGGGAGCGAGACAGTGTGAGAACAGAGGAGAGGAGAGGCGAGGTGGGTGAGAGGGAGAGAGAGAGAGAGAGAGGAGGGATGGGGAAGAATACAATGAAGTGGCTTATCGGCTCCAAGCTCCCCAAATCCTCCCGAGCACCCATACCGAGAGGGGAGAGACGGAGTCAACCCTTAGCCCGGTGTTTGCTCAGCGCCCTAGCACAGCAGGGGGGAGGCAGCAGCAGTGGAATAGGGCCAAACGTATCGGACAGAAGGGGAGGAGGAGGAGGAGGGGAGGGGGAGAGAGAGAGGGAGGGCAGGGGGGTGGATTGGAGAAGCGATCCAGTAGAGGTTTACACACGGGTCATCCGGGTGGTTTTATAGCCGCTGTTTCATCAGATTGCCGTTTTGTAAGCTGCTGGACATGAGACTGCTCACATAAACATATGCTGTGGGGACGGGGGCCGCGAGAGGCCTGAGAGTCACGATCATGGGCAGATTACGGATGGGAGTAAATGGGAATCTCTGTTCACTTGGGGCTGTAGAAGTGGTTCATTATCAAAGGTCGGGCTGTGGTTATTAACGACAAAAGACAAAAGAATAGTTTGGTATTTATTCTTTCGATTAATCAATTAGTTGCTTGAATCCGCTGAAGCTTTGCCGCTCGAGAATATCTTCAGAGACACACAAAATCCACACCACGACAAAAAGTCAACAAACAAATCAAAAGGTAAACAGGAGGATTTTGCCAAATTTGAGGAAAGAAACGCCCTCTCCACTGTGTGAAAACTCTCTGGTCTCATTGGACGAGCTCATATCACCAGAATGATTGACAATTACGAGGACCAATAGTCTTGATGACCCACCCGGAAGCAGAAAATCCTCCTATATGCCTTTAACACCAACTACTTCACTAATCGATCAGTTGAAATGAATTGATTAACATGTTATAGCCCCACAGATGTAGATGTGAAGGTGATTTAAAACACATAATGGTTCCATCGTGAATGAAATGTTTAACTGTACAACTGGAGTGCCTCACTTGTCTTGTATAAATTAGTCTGAAATTAACTTAAGACTAGTTCTTATAGAGCTTCTCAAAGTCCTCAGCTCTCAGTATGGAACAGATAACATGATTTTAATGAGATGAAGACAGCATGTTGCGGCCTGATTCGTTGGTAAAATATTACTTACAGGTAAATAGGATCATCATATAGGAGGGTGGATCATCAAGACTATTGGTCGTCCTAATTATCAATCATTCTGGTGATATGAGCTCGTCCAATAAGACCAGAGAGCTTTGTTCGAAAAGTGGAGAAAGTGGGAAAATCCTTGTATATACCTTTAAAATAGGAGTGTATTTATGAAACAAAAAGCTACGTCCTGCAGCGTTGACAGATTTCATCATAATAAAGATCGTACGTCTTGACAAGTTTTCAAAGTTACACACATCTGTGCGTGTAAACAATAACAAACACCATTCAATAATTTAGTTAAGTCCAGTCAAAGTGTCACACACAAACCATAGTTACACCGTCACTGTGGTCCAACACAACTAGAACAACATAAAACCATTTGTTAACACCCCCAGAGACAGTGACTGGGGGGATGTCCCCTCGAAGCCCCCTCTCTCCGCCTTCACCTATCCTGCTTCGCCACGGCATTTTGTCAGAGTCAGCAACAAAACAGACAGTCAAGAAAAAAGAGAAGAGAGAGAGGGGGGTGAAGAAAGTCTATCGATTAGCCTTCAGAGCTCCACGTGGGCCATTTTCATCGATTAGGGACCAGAGAGCAGCGGCAACACACCAGCCATGCGCCCTCCACCCCACCATAACCCCCCCTCCTGGGTCCTTTGTCCAAACAGAGAGCGATATAATGGCCCTTTGAGAGAAGGACAGAGGAGAAGGAAAGAGCGCAGAGGGACAAGTTGGAGGAGGGGAGGAGATGACGGCTGCGTGGCGGTGTCTACAGCCGGGATAGAGGGACACTCCCGGCCCCGGAGCGAGCGAGCGAGCCGGCTGGGAAGGAGTGGGGTGGGGGGGGGGGTGCATAGGATGGAAGGGGAGCGGAGGGGGGCCTTAGGAGAGAAAGACACCAAGGCGAGAAGAGAAAAGTCTCAATGACAAAAGGTCGGGGCAGCTGGGCTTAGGGCGACGGGGACCAAAGGGAGCAGTGGGATAATCTGCTAAAGCCCAGAAAGGAGAGATTCAGCATGCGCGCCACCCTCGTAGGGCCTTAGAGCAAATTTGCACATAAATAAGGAGCCAACTTTGCTTTGAACAGGAGGTCGAGGCAGAGCGTCGGAAAAGGGGTAGGCAGGGAGAGTGGCGCGTACCGGGGAGCGTTGGAACCACAGCTGCCGGCTCAAAACTGGACGCAGACTCCAGCCTCCGAACTGATTCAAGCTCTGCCAGGGAGGCCTTTCTTCTGCTAAGTGAAAAAGTAAGCAGATATATATCACCCCCTGCCGGGCCCCTTCCCACACACACACACACACACACACACACTCAGGTTTCTTTGCTTCTATAGTTTGCGGCCCTCAGCTTTCTTAGGACCTCAAAGTTGTGCCAGTCTCGTGTCCTTGGACATGCAAGAGGAACGCTGCAGGTTTGTGTGACGCCACTGCGACATGACGGGGAGAGGAGTGAGAAAAAAACAAGAAGAAATACATACAGTATTACGAGACAGAAGAGAGCGATGCCGTTTTGGATTTTAAGGGTAGTATGGACACTTTGGATCCAACTATGTCAGCCCGCCGCACATACTGAGAGGAGCGTCTATGTCTTTTATAACGCCATGAGCACGCTGCAAAAATCTGGTCTTGTCTTTTTTCAAACAATAAAATGTCGTCTGCTTTGACACAATACCAAACCTCTGCATCTTTTCACATTTTCTTCAGTAGAAATATAATCTAAATTGGCTATAGCAACAAACTACCAGTATATTTTCACACTCATCTCAAGCCAATTTATGATCAGTAAGCTAGCTCGTTTGTGTATTCATCAAAAGACAGAGCAACTTCTTCACTCAACTAAATGTTCAAAAAGGTATACACAAAGAGGAGAATTGTCACATTCTTTATGAGGTTAGGTAATGGTAAAAAAAGGACATTCAGGTTGATGAGTACTTGAAGTGATGGCTGATTCAGGACTGGCTGGAGCCCTTGCAGGTGCCTATTGATCAGCGTTGGAAGTTATGAACTAGCTGTCATTTCCCTTTCAAGGAGGGCTCAATAGGTATCGACTGGAGATGAAAAGTGTGCACAAGTGTAGAAGGTCTAAGGACAGGGCGGGAAGGGAAGAGGAGAAGGAGAGCGGGACGAGAGCGGCATATGGGCTCTTGACGTGCACAGTCATCGGAGTACACAGATGGACTCACAAAGACCCAAGACCCCGCAATGTATTCACAGACATGTCCGCGGCACCGGCCCTGGATTTGTATACGACTTGTCCAGACACAGCCAAATGTCCAGAGCCAAGGATAAAGTTCCATGGTGTTATATAGGCAGCTGCGCACAATATATAACACAACAGTTTATAAAGGCGGAGGCCCAACCCAGAAATCTAATAATAAAGGGGATGAAGATGACGTGACATGATGACAGGTTATAGAGGCTGTAGCATAGTTTGTCAGTGGCTGAAAGTTAGTCAAGCTTTTATCAATACCTCCAAGGATTCTCCATTTCTCCCACTGGGTTTTTGAGTTGCTGCTTTCTGAGGCAGGAGGGTCTACGGACAGTGAAGACCCAGGACATTTATAGACATTTATAAGAGTCATCCAGCTCCTTATGTAACAATGGCTCCTATGTGTTTGCATTACCATTGCATTTCCAATATTTATTCTCTAATCTGTTGCTGGCGATTCGACAATTTAGTAAAATCCTTAAAGACCCTTAAGACTGCTTTTGTGAATTACGGCTGTATAAAAAAATGGATTCCAAAAGAGCAATGGTCTGCAAAATTTTGTTTTCACATTGGTGTTTTACTGTGTCTGTATTTGTAGACCTTTTTATACCAATGTAATGTGTTTAATCAATAGACTTGCAATCCCAATGTACAGTTAGTTTTTGGCTTGGAGTGACTAAAGTCTGAATCTGAGCAGTTGAATAGAATGCATAGATATATATTTGGATTCCAGATGCAGTGGATACTTGTCACGTTCTGTGCATTGGTGGAGCTCGTGCTAGTTTGGAAATGTTGTAGATTTGCAACGTGAGGAGACGTTTGGGTGTTGTAGCAGCGTTGGACTGAGTTCCGGTGGAGTGGGATGCATGGCAATGTTTTAGTCCAGTGACCAGGCAGGGGGAGAACAAGCAGCAGGGTTCGTTTTGGATTTAGCAATGGTTCTATGGCTGAAACTGTCATGGTTTAGGTCTAATCTATGTTTTATTTTGTATTTTGTTACTCCCTGTGTCTTTAGTTGTACTTCCTGTTGCCTGATGACCTGCCCTGATGTGCCTCGCGTGTGTCTCATCAGTCTGGGTGTTCCTTCACTTCCTGTTCCGTCATTGTCCATGTGTTTTCTCTGTATTTTGATTTGTTTTACTTTTTATTAAATCCGTTATTTTGCAGATCTGCGTTTTTGGGATGGTTTATTTTGACCCACGTGACAGAAACTTCAATTCAATTCAATGTATTCTTGTATAGCCCTAAATCACAACAGTAGTTTTCTCAGAGGCCTTAACAAAACTGTTGATATCGCCAACGCAGATAAGAGAATCAAATGCAATGACTTTCCCCATCTTGAATCTAAATGTATTTTCCGACAGAATGGGTACGTCACTGCATGTGGTTATTTGTTTTCTGCTGTAAAAAAAATAAAAAAAACTTTGTTCATTTCTTTAAATTAGATAGATTGTTCCATATTAAAGCTATATAGAGGGATTTTCTACTTCCAGGTGGATGATCAAGACTATTGGTCCTCCCAGTTGTCAATCATTCTGGTGATCAAATAAGACCAGAGAGTTTTGTTCAAAAAGTAGAGAGGGCGGTTTTTTTCTAAAATTTGGGGAAATTGTTCTAGAAACCTTTAAGTAAGTATGTAAAGTTTATCTATATAGCGCCTTTCACAGACCAGGATCAGAAAGCGCACACACACAAGTCCGTAAAAAACAAATACAGAATAATCATTTGTCATTCCATTGACAAAGAGCCTCTTGAAGGATCATGTTATTTTTACTCAATGAATGAAACAAAATCTTTCTTAAAGGAGCAGTATGTAAAAATGTGGCCAAAAGTGGTACTGCAGCCTCTCCCACTCTCCCTGACTCAGGTTGCCAGATATGCAGACGAGTCCAGCTCGGACCATAAAAGCTGAATAGACAAGAGTTTTGTCAACAACAAATCTATAACCAACACCTTTTTCACAAAGATAGAATTTCTGGTTTTATTCTTTTTAGTTCTGCGCCACATGGTACTTTACCAGTGAGATTAGCTCCACGCGGTGAGTTCTGGCGCCCGGATCACAGACTTTCTGATTGGTGAAACGGTGGAGGGCGGGACATCGAAATGAAAACAATAACAACATTTAGGGGCTGTAAACGGTGCGGCACGGTGGCTGAGTGGAGCACTCTCGCCTCTCAGCAAGAAGGTCCTGGGTTCGAATCCCGGTTGGACCAGGGCCTTTCTGAGTGGAGTTTGCATGTTCTCCCCGTGTCTGCGTAGGTTTCCTCCGGGTGCTCCGGTTTCCCCTACCACTAAAAATATGTACAATAGTTCTGGCATGTGCCTCCTGTACTGGCGACCCCGCTCCCAAAAATCACAATTGTAAACCGCTTTGAGACTCCGATGTGCAGTGAAAAGGCGGTATATAAATAAAGATTACTTACTAATTACTTACGTAAAAGTAATTTAGAATTTCAAATATCTCTGAACTACTGTTATCAGTTAAAGAAGTATTGGAGCGGTTTATCATTTTGACAGATTAGGGCCCATTAATGATGACTTAAAATGAAAATCTTAAATATTGCTACATTAACTCCCACCAGGGCTAACAATAGTCCTCTCTGACCCCTCATTTGTCCACCACACCTGCCAATGAGAAGAGACGGTTTAGGGCATACACAGAATCAGACCAGAGCCAGCCCACAGCCTCACACGGAGAGAGAGTGTGCTGATAAAGGTTAGTGTGGGTGGACAGAGGTGTGTGGAGCCCGCTGGGACCTGGAGCTGTTGTGTGGACACGGACAGGCCTGCGTCACCCACTGAGCACTATCCAGATCACAGACGCCCTACCAGGCTGGGATGAAGGCAGGGCTTTGGGGCTCCCTAATCCTAGCTCATCCGTGTTCCATGTTCCGCAGCTCTCGACCGACGCTTAGCAGAATTTCACGCCCGAGTCTAAACCTAAAAACCAGTGCTCCTCGCTAAAGGGATCAGGCCGCGGTGGCAATAGGATGAGCAGTGTTTTTGTCACCGGCAAGAGGCTTGTGCTCGCTTTTAACGCCATCGGTCTCCCTGGGATCACAATCAAATCTGATACATGTGTGTTTTTAGTTAAGCAGCGTTGAAACGAAATGAAAAATCTTAGTTTGGTTTGAATCCCGGTAAAGGCACTTCAATGATCTTGCCTTTGTGTTGAAACGGTTTTAGTTGATGGATTTATTTTCCTGTTTTATTTCTGTATTTTTAATCTGGAGGACCCATAATTCATGAAGCATTACGATATGTGCAGAAAAACCATTCATATTTTCTTTTAACATTTCACATTTTTGTATGTCTTTCTATTGACGAAGGTAAAAGTTTACCGTCAGAATATATCAGGTGGTTATTAGATGAAGGCTTAAACATAAAGAAGACATCGTGAACTTTCTAAATTCAAATATTTCACTGAGCACTTCTTCTTTGCTGAGACAATCCACCCCATCCCAGAGACTACACAACAATATTACACACTCTCAGTTTTTAAATTTTGCTTTTTTGGTCCAAAGGGACTCAGAGGTTCTGGTGTGACCACAGTTTACCTCTTAAAGGGACCAGGTTGTTAATTGTAGGTCGTGGAATGAAGGCTAATTCTTCTTCAGTGGTGGTGGGCAGTGGTTGGAGATTGGCAGGAACTGGATCCCGCAGTTGTACGTATGTGGCGATCCCGAGCATTGAGTGACAGTGGATGGAGAATAACTTTA